ACAGTGTGTTAACACAGCCACAGAGGACATCAGTATGAAGGTTTCTAGAAAACAGGGGGCAGGAACCACCATTCTAGCCAACAATAATACCATTTTTTGCTTTTATCCTGAGGAATTATAAAGCCAGCATGCTTTATAATTTTGAAACCAATCACAAAGGACTTATGTATTGGCCCGGTCTCTACAAAATATTTTGTGTGTATGTAGATGTATATGATATGTATGCTTTATTTAAATACATCTTCTCCATATTTATTGAAATAAATACATACTAAACCATCAGAATTTTTAAAAATTCCTGCGTAGTATCCAATGTAGTGATACATGCATACCCATCTTTTTTTTTTGGTACCAGGGATTGAACTCAGGGTATATATCTTGATAGCAGTGCAATTCACAAGTTATGGAACCAGCTTCTTCCATAATTCTGGGTGTGAGAATATTTCCAGATAATAGCAACTATAGTCAATCATGTTCATCACTGTTTTCAAGGAACCACTGCCAAATCCAAGGACAGGAAGATCTGGTTTGGTTTTTACAATGAGAACATTGATACATTTTACTTGACTTTTTGGTTTTTTTTTTTTTTTTTTGTCTTGCCTTTTTGTATAAGCTCCACATAATGACAGCTTTCCAAATGGAGGTGTGAGTGTAGAAACTCCATGGTGTTCTTATTGCTTGTTCTAGCACATCAGCTGCACTAGCATTTTAAATTCTAGTCTCCCCTTCTCTACAGGGCATCCTGGCCTCCAGCCACACAATTGGGCCCTCCTTTCACCTACTGCACACATATCTGATGGTGCCCTATGCCACCTAGAATTGTCCAGTACTTTTTGTTCCACCTGTGGCCAGAAGGGATTCCAGCAAAAGAGCATGATGACTTCATGGAAGGATTGCTACCTCTTGCTCTAAGGAACCTGAACAGGAAAGAACTGTCCAAGACTTCCTCCATTATCCTTTTCAGAGTGTCCCTTGGGTCCACTCCACAGAGCTTAACACCAAGCATGCCCTGCTCAATAACTTCCTGTGGGAGCACCTCAGGCCTACTGCTGGACAGCTCTGCACATCTCACTTTGGAGAGAGAGCCCCTAAGCACACAAATAAATCCCTCAGGGCCCTAGGAGAAGGCAAGGAGGCCCAGATCTGGCCCCAAGGATCTTCCGACTCCCTGCCTGCCCAATCTGCCCAACAGCTAGACCTCCTGGGAAGGAGGCATGAATGGCTCTAGGTATCTTGAAACTGTTTCCGCTTGATGGCAGTTGAGCTGCAGACATGACTACCGGCCCTCTTCCTGAGAGCTCTTCTCCCACCCTTCCGGTCTAAAAAAATGCGGTACACAGGAAAAAGGCTCAGGAAACCTGGCTCCCTTGTCTTTTGCCCTCTGTGTTGGAACAAAGTGTCCAGGCTGCATTTTAAATTTTTACATTTTTTTTATTTTGAGACAGGAGTTTGCATGTTGGCCAGACTGACCTCCAACTTGAGAGCATCTTAACACAGCCTTCAACACAGGACTCCTTTCTTTCTTCATCAGAAACCAAAGTGGGGCCTGAATCTCCTCTTCTTTTCTCAGGACTGGTGGAACTTCATTTTCCATCCAGGTCTTATTTTACACAGTGTAATCAGCTCTAGAGATCACCGAACATCCCATTATCTCCTGGGAAGGGGGGTCAACTCCTTGGATGAAAACAGACAATTGAGGAAGCTGCTGAAGCTGGAGATCTTCTCTAGCCAACAACTCACCAATCCAAGTGGTTTGTGACCTGGCCATGCTCCAAGGCCAGCAGGGATTCTGGCATTCATCCTGTTCAAGGATCATTTCTCCCCAAGAGTGTGTATGTTAAACTGCAGGGTGGCCTAATCATGTTATTTATCATTGAAACTACTGGGAGGGTCACCTGGCATTTCAGATATTTTCCCTATCTCATGCTGATTGGTGGGAATTGAGTCAGGGATACCTGGCACTGCAGATCTCCAGGAGTGCTCTGTGGGTTTTCCCAAGGTCAAGGGTCACGGCCCAACCCTCTGGCCAGGCCTTGAGGTAGAAGCTGGTTTTTCAAAATGAAGTCACATCAGTTTTTCACAGGGCCTCCTTGAACATTCCCTCAGAGCGAGGGGAGGCCCAGGGCAGGATGGCACTCAGGCCTTGGTCAGAGTTCAGATGGAGAACAACAGGAGACAGGAGCTGGAAGCTGCTGCACTGGCGCCACACTTTCCAGTTGTTCCTGGGCAACAAGGGCAAAGCCTGTCTGAGGCAGAATCACGATAGAAATAACATTGTGAACCAAATGCCCTGTGCCATTGAAGCCTCCTTCCTAGGAGGCCCAGCTGTGGGGGAAGATCTGTGTTTTGTGGATCCAGTTCCATGTGTTTTGGGAACCATCTTGGCCTCCTTGCCTTCTCCTGGGGTCCTGAGGGACACCTGGGCACTGACACTCTCTTAGCAAAGAACCTGGACAGCCAGAGGACCCATGGGTACGAGCAGTAGCCAGGAGCTGGTGTCACAGGAAGCCTTGAGGCAGGGTGTCCATAGGGAGCTGTATGGACTGGAGCAGAGGGACCCACTAAGGGCTACTGCAGGGAGGTCAACCTGGCCCAAGGTACCCAACGGGAGCAGGGGCTCAGTTCCCTGAAGCTGCCAGCACCTCTTTTGGGAGAACAAGAACCTGAGACAGGACAGCTGTTTCCGGTGTGGTTGCTGCAGCTCAGAGCCACCTGGTGGAGAGAGCAGATTCTGTGTGGCAGGAAGCAGCCAGCCCCATCAAAACTAGGTGTTCAGCTACAGCTGTGCCTGCATGCATTATGGGCTGAGGTGGGCTCAGCTGCCCAGCAGGCTGAGCAACCTGACCCTGGTAAACTTGGTCATGGAATAGATGAGCAAGTTGGGCCCCAAGTGCCTCATGGCCAGGAAGTTGCCTCATAGGCCACAGCCCTTGGAACTAGCTTCTTGGGCTACCTGAGGATGTTTGAAGGTCGAGATCCCTGTGGCTGGGGGCCCTCTTGGAGAAGTTTCAGTTTTCAGCTCTGGAGGACCTGTTGTTACTGACCTGCAAGAATATGAGGCTTTCTGTGGCTCAGCTACTGAAAAGTGCCCTAACGTGCAATTACTGAGCCCAGAAGAACAGGTTTCTGTTACCCACTATAAGCCACTTGTGGATCCATCCACTGCTGGATGTGAGTCCTCAACGGGAGGTGGACGACTATTGTTTCCCTCATGCCCTGTACTTCCAAAGATACAGAAATAAGTGTTAATTATCTGGGAAGGAGTCAGTCGTTGAACATTTCAATTAATATCAAAATGAAAACTTTGCAACTCAGTAAAATAAACCACCTCTGTAGTGTGTCGAGAAAGAATCAAAAAGGCTAATGCAGGCTCGAAGGTACCAGCCTTGTGATCTTCCGTTTGGAGCAAGAACAAGCATGCCGTTATTGAGGCCAAGGTGCACTTGGATTGCATTTATTTTTATGTGCTGTACAATCCCACCAGCAGTGACATGTGCATTGACAGATGTTCTCTCATGACTTCATCATCTGACTCTAGAGCACAAGCATTTTCCCATATTGTAGAATGGCCTGTGTCTGCTTCCCCTGGCTTTATCCTGTATGTGCATTGTTGATTTTCACCTAGTGATCTTTTCTCCTTGGTAACCAGGACAAGGAACTTGCAAGGGATTCAGAAAATAGCCCTGTTCTGGTTTAAACAATACCGCTATCATCAAACATCATGTGGAGCACACATAATCTTTTCATTATTCAAGTCTAATTTTTCAGTCCATCGATGGAAGCTTGATGCCTGAGATACTATAATAACATTGCACTCAATTTTGACTAAGTTATGCAATGTGTTTATTTTTATTTTTTTTATGCAATGTGTGACACTATTTTTCCTTCTGATTCCTGAGGAGTGTTTGGTATTGTCATAAAATATTTGAAAAACTTGTGTTTCAAGAACTTTTAAACCATTTACAAAGGTCTAATGTACTGGCCTAATTTTTGCAAATATTTCCTGTATATTGACAGTTTTTTCCTCATAAAATCCTATATATATGCACACATACATATGTACACTGTCTCCATATTTTATCAATATAGAAATAATTCCATGCTAAAGTAACAATAGAGTTTGTTTTTCATTTTTTT